AAATTAAAATATATCTGCCAAAAAATAAAATAAAATAGTCAGTTTACATAAAATGCCAAAACTTGTAAATATGCAATTTACAAAAAAGATTCAAGTTGAATAATGATGTATAAATATGTAAAAAATAATAATTGTAAAATGTCTTAGTTAAATAAGTCACAGTTGGGGCAAACGTATTCTATCCTTTTTATTGACATATTTGTTGGGCAATATAACCCATTAAAACCAGCTTTAACCTTATTCTTATTAACCACTAGAAAAACCTGCTTTGCCCATATAGTTATTTACCATTAAAACATGTTCGGACCATATTCGTTTTAATCATTAGAACCTGATTTGACCATATTCTTATAAAATACTCACAGGTAAGATTGAGTTCAATTAATGATAAATATTCCAAAAGAAAACTTTATGTTTTAGAAACTGAATGTAGTACGTAGTGGGTAAGACAATTTTCGAAACACTTCGATGCAGACAAAAAAAAAAAAAGTCTGTTAAATAAAATAGAAAAAAAAGTGATAAACTCCTTAAAGTTATACTCCATAATGGTGCAAGCAATTATTTTAATTGAATGGTTAATATTCTTATCCACTTCCAATACACATTAATCGTTTCTATAGGCCAACAAACGTTAGATTTTGTATACTCGCAAGAAATGGTTGATTTTTTAATCTTACAAGTTCATCCCGTTATTGGTATCAGGCTAGAAAAAATTTAAATTGTTACGTCACTTAGACGTATATTTGTTTCGTGATACTTATTTTATAGACGTTCAGATATTCTGAATGGTATATATGTAAGTTGTTCTTTGTATAAAACGTACTTTTACGTATTAATTATTATGCACAACTATGCTTAGAGAATGTGAATTCAAAGTATAAATAATTTTATTTTTTATCAATTTTTATTACCATTTTATTTGAAATAAAATATTAACTTGTTCTTTGATTTTGATATAGTTTTGAAATAAACATAATACAACTGAAATTTTTATTTGTATGGGTAGTGCCATCTAGTAAAGGTAAATTAACAGACTTGCCAACGATTGTAATTGTAATATTTTTTTTTTCGTGTAAACGCCACTTCGATATAAATATAGATAACGAATTTAAATTCATCAACTACCTAATGTTGTTACTAGTATTTAAATTACCGTGTAGAAATTAGTTAGTTAAAAAAAGTTTAGGTTTTTTACAATTCTTCAAAATTATTTTTGTTATAATAAGCAAAGTTCGCAAAAAAATCAAATGTAATGTTATAACACCCATCAAATTAAGATAAGAATTCTTAACCCTGGAATATGATCTTTCCCACTACGGATTTTATATAACTTATGTTGCTTGAGTGTTATTTATTTTGTAAAGGAACTATTTTTGAAAACTATAAATATGGCAAAGGAATTACTTTCCATAATCAGAAAAGTACATTTATAGCTCAGTAGATGGAAGCAGCTATCAACCTTCTTTCTTTTTTCGGATAACAAAGTTTTGTTTGTTTCCATTTTTGAAAACTACATTTTCAAAGCTACAACAATGTATTATCCGCGCTCTGCCCACTACAAGTATCGAAATTAGACTTTCAGCTTTCGGAGGCTAGTAATTTAAAGAAATACTTTCCCCTCTGATTTTCTAGCTTGCTGGTTTAACAATACTTATGCATGTTGAATAAAAATAATTAAAGTAAAAATAAATAATAATATTGTGTTATTAATACCAGAATTTTTATGGGTAAATGACTACTATAAAATTGATAAAACTTACACTTCAACATCGTAATCTAGTTCACACCGTAACAGCTGTCGTTCATGAAATTTTATAACATGAATATCGTCTCAATCAATAACACAGGACTGCGAATTTAAACTTCATAAAAGTTGTTTTGGTTTTAATAATGGATTTTCCGCAATTCAACTGCGCAGATTTCGAATATAATATTCATTTTTTATATCACGTAAGGATTTTTTACAAATCGGGAATAATAAAAAAACTCTTACTTAGATCACATTTACCACAAATATAACAGAATATGTTTGGGTCATTTACACAACCTCTTGTTGCCATAACAACGAATAAATAATACTGAAAATAAAAAATAATGTCAAAGTGCACACACAAACAAATACTATAAACAATTGATACATTATGTGGTCTGTTAACCTTTTATATACAAACGGCGTGTTTCTCGTGGGTTTTAGAACAATCGATAACACTTTCACGTCGCGATTGGTCTGGAGAAATCTATAGCCAGTGGTTGTCAACATTTTAAGCATAACAAAATGTGACATATTACGTTTTGTGAAAAAGTCTGTAAGTGATGGATTAAAATGGATATCATTTTCGGGTTCAGCATATAGGAATTACCTAAGAACATGTAAACATTTCAGGACAATAAAACCATCGTAGACCTGTATAATCGGGACCTACGGAGGCTTAGATCCACTCACACACTGTACACGTACAAGAGCTTCATTCATCCCTGTCTCACGTATGGCCATACCCCCTGTATTTCTGCTTCTTCTGCTTTCTATTCTTGTACCTGGTTTTCAAGCACCATGTCCAATCAAAAGTTGTACGATAGTATCAATTTTCCACATATCCTGTTACACCTGCGACAGCTTCGAACTTGTTAGATTACCAAGTGTTTTCTTTTCAAGAGTGTGATATTCATGGAGCAGTGGTGAGCCTTTCCAATTCAGAAGGAAGACTGCCAGGATAATCATGGATCAAAGAAGAACCTGGGTTAGAACAGTACTGATACATAAAGTGCTGAGTGCACTTCATTTTCTGCTACTTTAGGGTAGGAGCCTAACGTTCATCACCATTTTGGGATCTCTGAGAGCTCCTACAATATATTTTATTCACCATGTCGAGGACATCTAAGTCAGGTCATGCATGGAAAGTCATGAAGAAAAGTGTCTTGCATCAATGATGGTTCCCCAAGAGTAAGGCAAAACAGACCATGTTGCTGACATTCACAGATAAAAAGAGGGAGGACTGGATTATATCCTGAAGCATTTCAGGCAGATAATTGCCTGGAATAACTAGGCTACAAAACAGCTGTTTAATGTCTTGTTCTGAAATTAGACCCTGGCCCTAGACTTCATCTAGTACTTGAATAAGGAACAACTGGGAGACTGCCACACAGTTGTTACTGAGTTGTGTACAGATGTTTGATCAAGTAGAAAACAAAACAATTCATTGAGTCAAATTCAAGGCGATAGCACAGAAAGCTTAACAGTCCTTTTTGCCTGTGGTCCAAAAGACCTTTTTTTCTTCTTCTTGGTTGAAATTATTGAGAGAATGATTGAGTGATTTCATGGGTTAAATATAATAATTTTCAACAGATTTAATATAATTTTCTAAATGTGGTTCTCTTTTGCGAGAGATGTCAAAGTCAAGTTTTCTTTGATAGTGTAGCTTTTTCGAGGTGGCGAAGGTGAGATTTATTGTAAATTAATTCCAAGAGTCTGAATTTTCGAGAGAAGTCGTTGTAATTCAGTCGATAAGGGCTACAATAATAACAAATCAGTCTTTTATTTATTTAAGATCATTACGTTCATGTACGTTTCTTACATGAACGTTACTTTGAGTTCACATCTACAGTTTTCTACCATCCTAAAATTAATTCGTGATACGATCTACCTCGGCCCGGCATAGCTCGCCCTTTCAGCCGTGGGGGCGTTATAATGTGACGGTCAATCCCACTATTCGTTGGTAAAAGAGTAGTCCAAGAGTTGGCGGTGGGTGGTGATGACTAGCTGGCTTCCTTCTAGTCTTAGACTGTTAAATTATGGACGGCTAGCGCAGATAGCCCTCGTGTAGCTTTACGCGAAATTCAAAACAAACAAACGGCGTACCCCAATAAATCACTGTAAATTGAGCTTATGAAAAAAAACTTTACTCCAATATTTTGGCCAGTCCTCTAAATGTAATTAAATTGTTTGCCACATACACTCAATGATTGGCCCTATGGTAGAACTCTGGATTGCAGAGCTGGAGAGCCGGTTTCGGATCCTTGCGATACCACAAAGTACTCCCCTTATTTTAAGCTGGAATTGTGGTATAAAAGTGACAGCCAATTCGTCAATCCGTTAGTGTGGGTGGTAGAGTGCTGCTGAGTAACTGTCTTCCCCTAGTCAGTAGTTCAATATTAGGGACGGTGTTTGATACTTTTAGCAGTTATGCCATACATACAATAAATACAAAATACATACCTTGGTGCGAACCAAAATTTAGCTTTTTTCGTGCTTGTCTACTTTTTATAAGCAAAGTTTCTGTGTAACTAAATTCTCTATATATAATGCATAACAATGGGCAAATATATGCCTAGTCTAAGACACAAACCCTACTGAGTGCGTATAAAATTTTACCAGTAGAAAAGAAACTTTTTCAAATAAAATATATACGTCTAAAACATCGCTATAAATAAACCTTCGTGTCTTTTAAAATAATTATTCAACGAATGTGTGTAATAAATTTTAATATTGTGTGAATTGATTTTTTTTTTTACTCCTTCACTTCATACATGATACAGGGATTGGCTCCCGAAAGACACGGATTGTAAAGTGCACAAAACATTGATATTGTTACGTCTCCGTTTGTTAATTAACTTCTCGTAACTTCGTTCCGACGAAACTTTAGCGACACAAGTATTTACTTAATAAAACTGGTTTATTCTTTCCAAATATAACTCTGCGATACACTTAATTTCAACATTCGCGCTAAAACAAACAGTATCACGAACGAACGTTAACTTCAACAATACCCTGTGACTGCAGTTCAATTACTCACTGTCTATACACACATTACATTATCTCGTCACGTTGTCACCCTCTTTTATATACCAGCCTACCCTATCTAGTAAATACTAGAGCATTCGCCAAGGTACGGGATAGTTCTAGAAACTAGAGGGTGTGAGAATAGTCACGTGATCTCGATGACGCAACAATATGTTACAGTCATCTAATGTTCATCTATTATTGATTGGTAATTCCTTTTTCACCCTGTACTTAGCTTTTTAAAGCAACAGCAGATATGCGTAAGAAAGCAAATTTCAAGGGGTAATGATAACATCGTTTATACTAGAATTATGATGTTTTTTAGCTTATGTAAAATATAAAAGAAACGACTCGACTTTTCAATACCCCTACGACTTTTGCAGTACCTTATTTAGTATTCTACAAATGGTTTGGGTGCAATATACAAGCCATTTTTGTTGTATGCTGCAAGAGAATAATAATAAGAAGAAGAATTCCAAACGGGTCGTTTTGAGAGAATTTTCTTTTCTTCGTAAATCTAACATGCGATCCCTATTATTATTATTATTATGAGCCACTTTCGTGGTTCATGATAAATAAGTTTCTATGCCCCCACCTCCCCGATGCCTTAGCGGAATCCTTATGGGCTTATAACGCTAGAAATCATGTTTTTGATTCGTACAGTGAGCACAACATAGATAGCTCATTGTGTATCTTTATTCTTAATAACAAACAAAAGTTTCTACGTCTTGTGAACAGTCGAATTTGTAGTTGCACACTAAGCTATAACATTTAAGTTCTTGTTTTATGTAGAGCTTGCAGATGGCGCTCGTCATACACTACTGAAACCATGCGTTTTCATTCCGTCAAGTAATGTAAACATGGCTGATGATGGGGCGGACGATCTTAGCAATGTTGAAGCAGAGACTACATTTGAAGTTCAGTTATATATATATGATTTATCTAAAGGTTTGGCAGGGAATTTATCTTCAATTTTCTTAGGTAAGGCATTGTTCATCTGAATACCATAAAGATATATAAATGTATACTCTTAAAAAGATTAGAAAATGGACAGAATACTAGAGTTAGTTAGTATAGTAACACTAACAGTGCAGTAACTGACTTAGTATTACTAAGTAAGATATATAACTCAATATACACTATGGCAGTGGTGACGTATGAAGTTATGTAAGACTTAGATTATAATACATATGTATATATTTAATACTGAAAGATTGTTGAAAGAGGTCTAAATCAGTGTCCATTTTTTAGATTGAATAAACCGGACAAAAATGTTTTAGTTAAACTCAAAACAGTAAGCATTTATTATTATCTATTTGTTATATAAATACCTAATAATAATAATAATACACTCAAGATAAAGTAAGAAACTTTTGTCCAAATAAAAGTTTGGAATAGTAAACTTGGGAAAAATAAATTAACCACAAATAGTTAAGAAAATCCAAAATTATGGTTAAAATATATACTGGGTGAGTCAAAAATCCTGATTTTCTCTATTGTTGTGAAGTTAGTGGGAAATATTGAAAATCTGCTGACATAGAGTGCTTAGGTATATTGGGAGTCATTTGTTACATGACACAGTGTCATGATATAAAGCAATGTTCCACACCTACTTCACAACAGTAGGGAAAATAATGATTTACGACTCATCCTGTGTATGTATATTATAGAAAAGAAAATCATAGTTATTACTAAATAATAGGTTATCTCTCTGTGGGTAGTATTTATCACACTAGAATTTTGACTTAAGAATATAAAATATATATTACTAGTTACTACCTTGCTATAACTGTAAGGATATAGACATCCCCTTAAGTTGTGATATGGTTCACATTATATGCTTTGCAAGGGAAACTGGTGAGTGACTAAATAGGCACACACTAGATTAGTATGTTAGTAGTGTTGAAGTGTGTATAAGGTAACAAAATATCAAGACTTAAGTAACTTTTAGAGAGTAAGTGATGTAAAGTGCTGGAAATTTTGGAAATGAATACTTGAAATCTTCGTACTTTTTTCCTCCAAAACTGTTGATTAATTATTGTTACAATCACTGAAAAGGCAGAGAGAATATGAACTGCTGTTAGTCCAATATAAACTCAAGTAATGTATAACATTTACTAAAGTGTGCATTAGGGTGCATCAAATTTACTTAGTAAAAAATTTTATTTTGTAATTGCTAGTTGGCAGGGTGTGCAATAGTTGCCTTTTATTATAAGAATTAATGTTGTGCAGTATGAAACTCCTCCAATTATATCTTAAATTGGTACAAGCAAACCAAAGTTTGAAAATGAAAGTGTATCATCTCTCCATCAAATGAAATAGTTAATCATGAGGACTTAATGGTTTCAAACTCAGAAGATTCTGATGTTGCTAATACTGTACCTTCTACATCAAAATCCTAAAATAAATAAACAAATGAGGACACCACTTCCAATGGTAGTGAGAGAAGCTGACAGGTACTGTATTTCAGATAGAGCTGCTGCAGCCCTTACCTCAGCTGTTTTGGAAGATATGGCCATTATTCAAGAAAATGACAATGCTAAAATTGTTGATAAAAAACAAGATATGACGAGAACAAGAAAAATACCGAGGAACATTATTGACTTCTGGTGAATCAAATTGTATTAAATCTATCCTCTTGGATGATAGAAAAGATATGTATAACTAAAATTGTCATTAAAAATAGGCAAAAACATTATAAACATGTAATCATGGAACAGTACATAACTTTGGTCAGTTAACCTGAATCAATTTTCATGGATCACATTTCTCCTTCTTCCAGAACATGAGAAGGTATAAAAAATTCTATCATTCAGTGGTTTGAATATAAAATTTCATCTGATCATATAGTTGCTGTAGGCTGTGATGGCACATACGTCAATACTGGAAAAAAGCTGGAGTTATGCGGCTTTTTGAATTCCACTTAGGAAGACCTGTTCATTGGTCAATTTATTTGTTACATGCAAATGAGTTTATCCCTGCATCATCTAATTACACATCTTGATGGAGTAACTCTAGGACCGTCCGCTTTTTCTGGTCCTCTTGGAAAGAAACTGAAAACTTGTAAATCATTGCTTTCAGTAAACTTCAGTCAAAATTACAAAGTCATTACCAAAAATTGACCATTCTGAGGATCTTAGAACAGAGCAAAAATATTTGTATGACATGTGCTATTGTTCAAGAGAAATTGCTTTATGTGACCCTGTATAATGAGCCATTCTTGCTGGTTATCAACAGCAAACAGGATTTTGTGTCTTTACGTCGCAACTGCTAACCCATCCGAGAAGCTTAGTTTGTTAGTGAGATATGTAATTGAAGTGTATGCAACAGTTTGGTTTAATATCAAGAAAAATCCCTCATGCAGCCATCACTCACTGCACCTTTTTCTACTAGTAAGAAAATTATGTTTTCTTCCTGAATCAAAGAAATATGTGGTGGAGAGAGTAAGCCGGAGAAATGCATATTTTGCCCACCCGGAAAAGTTGCTGCTTCCAATGCTTGGAGATGATTCTAAGACTATCAGACAACTTGCTCTTCGTAGAATATTAGCTGCTTGATCTACCTCAAATTCTATCACAATGAGACAGTTTGTGGTTTCAAATATTGATATAACATTACACTGATCTAATAATGTGGACTGAGAGTAGAGCCACCACTTACAAAAAATATAAGCAATGAACAGTTGTTGTCTTTCATTAATCAAGATGACATGCCAGTTTTCAAGTTCAGTATGTCATGTCACACACAAGCAGTTGAAAGGCATGTTAAAATAGTAACAGAAGCTTAAGTAGCTGTTTGTGGCTATTGCTAAAGAAAGGGATTCATTAAAGCAAAACTCCAATCTGGCAAAATCATGAAAAAATTTAATACTAAGAAACAATACATAATTCAGTGATTCTATTGCCCAGTGGAAGGGTGGTTGGGTGGAACTCAACATGCAACTACTTCCTTGTGGGGAGTTCTGGGTATTTTAGAATATAAAACTCTTAAATTAGCTAAACATTGCATGTCCAAAGTTATAGTACTTTGATTTCTCATATACTTTGATTATGGATATTTTAAGGAAAATAACCGTCCCTCATGGCAGAACAAGATATAATTTTAGAAGCCTGAAACTTACCCACATAATTACTACTATTAAAAGGCACCAATCACATACCCTGCTGATAATGATATAAGAAATTTATATTTTCAGTGCACCCTAGAGTGCATGGTATGTAATTTATGAAATACCATAAAAATGAACCCAATAATACAAATAAAATATTTTTTATGTATTGAGTTTCTAATATCATCAAAAAAGAAATGATGTCAAAATTTAATTCTAAACCCCTACACCACTCTTTTAATTAGCTGAAGTAAAGTAATGTATTACATTCATAAAATGAGTAATTGAGATAGAAGCAAACATATATATGGCCCGTATAATTTTTATTTCACAGTTAAAAAAAAGAAACACAATACTTAGTTTTTTCTCTTAAATCAAATCTAAGTATTTTGTTAAAACATTTCATATTTGATGATTTACTGTAACAGGAAAACAACTCCCTGGCATTTGGCATACTGGAATCGTAGCTTATGGTAGAGAATACTTCTTCGGATCTGATGGCATTAACAGTTGTGGACCCGTAAGTTGTATTAGTATAGGAAGTTAAATAAGAACATTATTTCACAGTTAAAAATACTTATCTATGTTTGTCTTAAGATATTAAAATCTCATGTAATTAATCTAGCTTGGTAAGTGAAAGCTGATTCAGATTGAAGTGTCAGTTTTCACTGTGTCCTGGGAGGGAATATTTTCTCTGTTGTGGTAAAGTATTGTGTGTATTACAACTGACTTATATTAATTTAGAAATCTCAAATCAACTAGAGGTAGTACTTAAAGATGCTATAAAAACTAGTGAATTGTTTATACTAAAAATATACTCCTGCCTCCTTAACTAAGGCAGTAATAAATTATATAGTTTTATTGCCTAAAACCTACAGTGCTACAGGGATATTTTTAAGCCTTTCTTGTCAACTGTATTTATATTAAGGTTGTGATGAATTATTTCAGAAATAGATGTCAGAATTCTGTATGATTTCATGTTTTTTGAGACAATTTGTGGGTGTGATAAATAGTCACTAGGCCAAAATTTCAAACAAATCTCACAACTACTATTATTCTATCATATGTACCAAACCTAATGACAAAATCAAGATGGCCTTATCAAATTCCATGTTAAAGTTTACTTCAGAGCTGGAAAATATGTAGAAATCGATTCAGGAAAGTCAAACAATACGCTTCTAATAAAAAGCAGAAAAACTATTTGCAAAATTCCTAATTTTTTTTAAAGATTCTTTTATTG